AAAGTATGGCAATTAGTCAAAAAATGATGACCCAGATTTTTACATTTTTGGGCTCAGGACACCTTGAAACATTGAGAAATGCAAAAAAAAAATTTGGGGATTTTTCTTTTTGTATGGATGTTATTTAGTTTGTGTGTGTGGGGGGGCACAATTTTGTTTACTCTCTTTGAACCTTAACTCCTATGTTGTTTGTCGAAACTTTCTGAATTTTGCAAAGAGATTTGTGTGTTAGGATATTAATGCAATTAAATTTTGGGGTAAAGGTCAAGGGAGTAGGGAGATAAAGTGTCTCGTGTGTTGTTTCTCGAATAGGGTCAAACTTAATGACAATTTTACTCATTATTAGCATTTACAGTTTTTTATAAAATTCATCCCTACCTTCAAAATTAAGCTTTTTGCTATTTTATAATAATTAAAAATATAAAAGTTTTTTAATAAATATCATAACAGATGGAGTCAAACATGCAGTTTAAATGCTGCCGGGAAAGTTAAGCAACTTGTTGCTGGATTTTTAAAACAATTTAAAGTATTGCATTATTATTTTTTCAGATCTTGCCATCCTGCAAGCATTTCCATGCAGATCTCAGTTAGGAGATAAAGATACTTCAGCTATGGTTGAAGAAGAGGTACAATTTTTAATACAAATGTACATTATTTTTAGATGGAAAATAAAATTTAAACAGTCATATTTTAACATAGATTCGTCAAGGATTGGAACAAAGACATTTGACTGTAGTTGGATGGTATCACAGTCACCCGACGTGCTCAGTGCAACCAACAGTTAAAGATGTTGATAGTCAGATGGAGTATCAAATTATAATGAAAGGCGAAAATGATTCAACTTACACTCCTTGTCTAGGATTTATATGCTGTGAGCAAACTTCTTATTAAGTTCATTGTTAAGCATGATTGAATTCCTATTGTGTGCAATTATTTTATCATTTTGATAATTTAAGTAGGAATTATATAGAAATAATTAAAAAATATGAGAATATGAATATGTAGCTATCTTCAAAATTAAGCTTTTTGGAGTTTTCTAAAGGGATTAGTCTCTGCATAGTGTGGATAAACTGTATTTATGAATATTACATTCTGTGTGTAATATCTTATGAAGAAAAGTCACAATAATGCAAAGAAATAATTACAAAATATGAGAATATGAATATGTAGCTATTTAGTATGTTTATGTAAATTGTGGCTTATAAAAATTATTGAGGAATGTATTATAATATAGTATTGTTGGATAAACCTTTCTGGATTAAGCTTCTTGTTTCTTGAGAAGACAAAACAGTAGACAGTTGCATTCTAATCTTTCACATTTATCATGTAAATTTAGTGTAGAAGAATGTAAATGATTATATAAATTTATTTATTACAATACAGAAATATATACAGGTTGTGCTACTTAATGATAGGATGCATGTACAATGGAGCTTCATAAGATTAAAATCTAATTGAAAAATTTTTTTGTAGCAGCTTGTATCTTTTCTATGTTTAGATATATTAATACTTATCATTGTGTCACTTAATGGTGGTGATACATCAAGAAATGTCATTAAGTAAACATTATAGAAAGAACAGTAGTTAGACATACCTATGTGATACTATTTGTATAAGTTATATGTAATACAATTGTGACGCAATATAATTATTTATATATCTAAACATAGAAAAAGTACAGTCAACTATAAATTTTCAGCTTATTAAAATTTTATGGGACCTCTGTCATATATGCAAATGTTATTAAGTAGTGTATAATAAAAACTTTATATATAAAGATAATAATTTTTTATGTTTATAAGTGTTTCTATAGGTAATTGATTATTATGTTGACTAATATAAATATACATATTATTATAGCACCATATAATATGACTAAATCCCTCTTAGAAGCAGAATATCTTGCTTATTGGGTTATGCCACCACCTGAAGTAAGTTTAACTTTTTTAATCAACTTAATCGATTAAGTTGAATTACCAAGAGATGGGTATAGTTTATAAATAATTTCTAGCATCGTCCTCATGAATACGGACGTCCAATGGAAATGATATACACGGTAGCTCAAGATTCATTTTTAACACAGGATCTGTTGACAGAACTTGTAAGATAAAACTTTTTTCTTCAGAATTTTAGATTTTTTATACCAATTAATTTATGGTAATTGTTGTTATTCTAGTAAGATTTGATTATATTTTATTTCAGCGTTTGTTAGCAGACTTCTACAGAGGTGCTCCCGATGCTATTAATTTCTCTCACAATTATTGTCAGAATGGAATAACATACTGGGAAAAACTAAGATCATCTCTATCTACCAAACTTCCTAGGGATTTACAAGTTTCCGGAAATCAGTCAATAGCTCAAATGCAAGCTGTAACGCATTTTTGGAGTTTCCTAAAGGGATTAGTCTCTGCATAGTGTGGATAAAGTGTATTTGTGAATATTATATTCTGTGTGCAATATCTTATGAAGAAAAGGCACAATAATACAAAGTAAATGTGATAACTATATAATGTTTACTTGTAAAATCAAGTAAGTTTAGCTATATTATTTAGAGGACTGCATTCGTTAAGGATGAAAACAAGTATTGATACATTCCTATTTTTCTTTCTACCTCTCGGAGATCAAAGATATATGTTCGTAACGAATTGTAATTTTGATACCTTCGAGCGCAGAAAGACAAGACAAATTGTTATTGAAAGTGAAATTTATTTAATTTATTTAATACATTATCATATTTTTATCAATAAAATTTTGGATATATAATTATTTAATTGTCTTTATCCAAAGAAATTCTTCAATATAAATTTTATTTATTTAATTTCATGATAATTTTTTGCATATTTTGTAAAGTAATTAAAAACTTTACTATAAGAGTTTTATATTTTTAAAAATTCAAATATGTATGATAATTGTTTATTATTTTTTATTTGTATTTTTCAAAATCAAAATGATTTGATTGATTGACGTAAGTGAAACGAACATGACGACAGTTAAGTGCGATTAGGGCTTAACTGTTTATCTACTTAAATGTGCAGTTGATTGCAGGGTAGTAATTTTTATACTTTTTTAAAACTTAAACTGACTTTTTATAGTGCATATATTTTTGAGTTAGTTATATTTCGAGTTAGAAAATAAAGTTTTTGATATAAGAAATTTCGAATACATTTTTTAAAGAATATGTGCCAATCTGACTTTATTGAATATATCCAAAATTTGTGATAAATATTCATTAATTATTAAATGTGATAAACAATCTGTGATTTATTTTTCTGATTAATTTAATTAATAGGAATTTAAAATTGTGCAATATATTATTATTATTTTTTTTTAAAGTAAAGATTCATAATTTTAATTATGTTGTAACCTTAATTATTTAAATTTAATGAATTGTAAACGAAACAGTAATAAACTATAGAACAATTTCAAATTATTTCTTGTAAATACTGTGACATTGTACTCATAAGTGGATCAGTTTGCATCTGGCATTCCAATTATGTAAAAATGCTCGGAGAATTTGAGACTGTTTGTTAAATAAATGTGATAGTATTTTGTTTTGTGATTTGGAAATGAAAGAAAATCTTTTGTCATCTTTCTTATGTGCCAAAAGAGTGGTTAATAAATATCTCTTACTAAATATAAAATTTTATATTTAGTAAGAGATATTTGTCTTTGGCGATTAATTAAGATCAAATCGTGTATTAAAATAAACTCATTACTACAATAGTTATACGTCATCATTATATCAAATTAGCATTTTATGTAAGCAAAGCAATCAGTAATTTTCAATATATAAGGTATTTAAGCATGATTTGCACAGGATGTAAAGGGTGCAAAATGTAACGAAGCAAAAAGAGCTATTGATGAAATGTTAGCATACATAAGCTCATGAAGGAGTTAAAGATTTTCATGTCTGCCAATGGGAATATGTGACAATTAGGATATGTTGGCAGGCACAAATCAATGAAAATGGCACACAATAATTGAAAAGATCCATGTTGAAAATAATACTGATATCTTAATTTAATTTTGATGAACCTACACAACACAGTAAATGAAAAGAACATTAATGTGGCAACTTCAGTATATATGGAATTTTTTTAAAATGCCATCCATTGGTAAAAGTGCAAAACTACAACTTGTGACTATACTTATCACCACTTGCAGTGTGGGCAAAATTTGCTTTGCTTGCTTCGTTGCTTTGTTCGCTCTCTCTGCTTTTGCACCCTTCATGTCCGGTGTAAATTACACTTTATTTTGTGAAGTAATATAAAAAAAATAATTGTTCTTGAAACATTACTATCTGCATCAAGAATTCTTTAGACCAAACCAGATATTCTCAACTTCATTGCTAGCAACCTTCTTAGGGGTCATTATATTATTAAAGAATTTTGAAACCTATGAAAATAATAGAATAAAAAGGTATATAAATATTTTCATGTAGTCATCAGGTTTGCTATAATAATTTGAGAATTAACACATACACACACAGATTTTATTATATTGATATGTTTGGAAAGTTCATAGCAATTTTTAAGAGAGATAAAATAAACTGTTTTAAAACTAAAAATATACTTTTATTCCATTACGTATGTGCCATTGTTTTTAATGATGTGTTGCCATCTATGGGGAGCTTCATGATATTCTCTTCGTAGAACTCTCCATCGTTTCCCACAAAAAAACTGATCCACATGGTTTTTGCAAGCTTCTAGTGTCAAAATTTTTATCATGAAGGGAATTTTGCAGAGAATGGAACAAATGATAGTCTGATGGGGCAAGGTTGGGTGAGTATGGGGGGGTGTGGTAAAACACCCCAACCCAGTTCCAATAATTTTTGGCATGTTCATAAAGACGTGTGTGGTCTGGCATTATCTTGGTGAAACACAATGCCTTTTCTATTGNATATTTGTATAGTTTTTAAGAGAACTCATACGTGATGAGAGAAAAAAAAATTATGAATTTTATTTAACAAATTAGAATACAGTCAAACCTCAGTTAGTGGAATTTGCTATTATATAATTTAAAAAATAAATTTACATTTATTTAGCAAGCAAAATAACAGCTTTAATTTGTTTGGTGATAATTAAGTTCTTATGTAATATCACAAAATTAGATAGTATATTTGTATAGTTTTTAAGAGAACTCATACGTGATGAGAGAAAAAAAAATTATGAATTTTATTTAACAAATTAGAATACAGTCAAACCTCAGTTTATGAACTTAATTCATTCCTAAAAGTTTTTCATAAACCTATCTGTTCTCAAACCAAAACAAATTTTTCCATAAGAAACAATGTAAAATAGATTAATGTTTCCGACCACCAAAACAAAGTTTTTTTTTTATTCTTTTAGCTATATTTCATGCATAAAAATGACTACAAATACAATATATCTATATCTATATTTATTCTATGTATATGTTACTGTGAAAGACTGAAATTAGAGAATGTCAATATTCTCTGGTGAATGTCGACACATACAAAATACATCGGTGAAAGTCCGAATATTTGTTTATATTATTATACATTTGAACAATCATCAGTGTATGTCGACAAGCACAGATAAGGTTTGGTGGAGGTTGAAACGATACCTGAGAAGCCGATGTTGACAGAGAGGCAACAGTCTGTCGCCAAATACTTTGTGGATAGCCGGAGGTAGGACATGGTTGTATTTCTTTTTCCGGCAACGGTTTAATGGAAAATATCCACTTTGTCACTGGATGGCGTTTTTGTTCTTTTGATCCCGTGAGGTGGGGATCAGTTTGTCAGGTCAAGTGGCGGAGGATGAGAGGGGTCATCAGTAAGGCGTCAGCGATATCTGAATAAAAGACACCATTAACAGATCAGTTTGTAATCACGTAATAACATAATCAGTTCCTAATTTGTAAAGAAAAGTTACTTTCCATACATGAGATTCCTTCTCAAGAAATATCACTGAGAGAAGCAGCTGCAGCTAATTTGAAAAGTGGAGGGCAAGGCTATACATGCTGTCATTGCAAAAAGAAGTGTTCCATGAATAAATGCAATTGTAAAAGCAAGGGACTCTTGTGCAATTCAAAGTGCCATAACAGTTTAAGCTGTTTCAATAAATAAGACTGTATACTGTAATGTTAATCACATAATTTATGTGTAAGTTTATTATTGTATTATTCTCTTTAATGATTAAGAATGTACTGTTCATTTTAGGTTTAACAGTTTATTTACATGTGCTATTACTTAAGCTTTCTCTTATTTTCACATATTAAAATGTTGCATTTTTGTCTTAACTTAATAAAAATATTTTTGTTCAACATTCACCATCAGTGCATGCTGAATGTCGACATTTGCCAGTGTAAGTGCGAAATAACGATATTTAGCAAATATTTCGTACATTACACGAAACTACTGTGTGAATGCTGACATTCACCGCAGAATGTTGACATTTGCCAGATATCGGTCATTCACAGTAACATATATATTGAAAGCAAAATGTTCCATCATCACCAACTGAAACCAAAATTTACACTTTACAAAGCAGTGCTATAAATAGAGACTCAATTCTGATTTGCTAAGGTGAAATATAACCAAATCAAACAAGACTGACAATACTTTATCCACACTTTCTGAAATAGTTTTTCAATTGATTTGATTTTAATTTTAGTTTTGGTGTAAAAACCAGAGTTTTAATTAGTATTTTATTATTTTTAGTTTTAATTAACTGGCTACCTAGTATTAATAAATATTTAATTAAATATTAATATTATAATATATAATAATATATTAATAAATTTTTGTTATT